AGCCAAGGAATCAATCCACGTCTGCATGAATCGTGCATTATTGTGCGCGCGGAGACAGGAAGTGACTCGGCTGCTTTCCATGACCTTGACCTTTGCAATTAAACCGGCGTTTTTCGTTACTCACACGTATATATTATATTATATTGCCCCGCCGCCGCCGCCGCGTGTGAATGTACAAGAGTTTTGATTCAATGGCGCGCACTCGCTTTCAGCGCATATATGCATGAGAGGCGCGGTGTGCAAATATATACACATTAATGTAATGAGAGCGGCGGCTTTGAAATCCGATTCCGATGCTGTGGGAAAATATATTTATGCGCGCGAAACGAGAGGCTCTCCACAATTTGGATTGAAAGGTCAAAAAAGCTTTTCCGCAGAAATTTAAACTCCGACGAGAGATCTCATTAAAAGTTTCCACTCTCTTAAACACACACAAAATAATTTCCAACAGAATTTTCTTGAAGGATGGTTTATTTTTAAGTGAATAATATATATTAAATAACTTGTGGAGTCAGGTATAAGAAATTAATTGGGTGTTTTTTGACATTTCGTTTCATACAATTTACAAAAAGAAAACCGAAAAAAAGTTAATGAATTTTGGATTTAGCGGAAGTGATTATAAAAAATATTTTGCCTGTGCACAAACAACGCTGATTATCCCAAACATTTTGGGTGAAAATAAATTTGAAATGCAAACAGCAGCTTCGGATTAAAATAATACTAAATTTCCAGAGCACTCTGCCGGCTTAAAAGGGATGAATTCTCACATTTTTCAAACACGAGGCAAAATTTGCCCCCACACGTGCGCTGACTCACGAGAGCCTTTGTTGCTCAAGCGCGCCATTAACCATATTTTGGGGTTTCTTTGTCGCCGCTCTAATAAAAACACGGCGCGAAAAGAGAGCAAAACAAGCAAATGACAAAACAGCAGACGAGTCGCTCTCTCGGCGTGTTTGTTGTTTTTCGTCCTGGTTATTTTGGCGTCGCTCTAGCTTTAATCGTCTCTCGCTGACGGTATAGGCCGCTGCATAATTACACACGAAATTAAAGCAAAACGTGCAGGACTTTTCTGAAAAGAAAGATAAAAAAAAAAGTAAACGGCCACGATGTGAATTGAATTAATATATATAAACAATTTTTCATAAGACAAACTCACAGGAAGGGTTTTGAGTAATAACAGCAAAATAAATTCATTCGGTGCTGAATTTGTAATAACGCACGCGAGGGAGCACAAAGGATGAATGCCCCATTGTTAGCGAATGACATCACGGCGCGCATTGTTCTCGCGGCGGCGCTGACGTAACAATGGCGTTACTTAGTCGCGAGTACTTTACGCGGAATCAGCAATCGCGAGAGCGCTCATTAAATGCCAGGGTTGAATTTTTCTTCCATAAATATACAAAAAAAAGCCTAAAGTCTACACGTGCATGTGTGACAACATTGCAATTTTTATCGTTCAAAATGAAAATCAGCGTTTTTTAACAACAAGGTTGGGGAAAAGTACATAAAAAATACACTTCAAAAATGAGGAAGTTCCGGTAATTGCGGTGGAGCAATTTAACAGATAAGCGGAAGGGGCAATTAAATTTATCTCATTTCTTTCTTTCCTTCATTATTACTATATTTTTCTTCCTGGAGGCATATAAAGGAAACAATACGCGCGTTCCTGCCATTAAATCGATTAATCATAAACGCGGCGCGCGGTGCAATTAAACCGGCGCATTGTGCCTTCCTCGGAATTGTGCATTAAATTATTTTTCCGGCCGAAAACAACAATTGCTTGCTCTTTGGGACGATAACGCGGCGCGCAACAACAACAGCGCGCGCATGATTAATTGAACGAGCCGCGTAATTAATGGCCCCCGCCGCCCAAATTGTTGCGAGCGCAAATTCCTTTAAAATATCGACTATTGTAAGAGTGAATTCTGCCGGCGAGCCCCGGAGGGTTTCGGCTGCTGAGCGTGTGTATTATTATCCCTGCGGGAGGGCGCGCGAGAGTAGGCATCATTTATCTTATTATGTGCCGATGATTCAAATCTTCACAGATCCGTGCTGCAGATACACGCGAGAGAGCAGCCAGCAGGAAAACATGTTTGTGCGCTGCCAAGGAAATTATTCGTCAGCAGCTTATTTTTTTCTCCCGTTCCAAACTCCACGCCGACCCCAAGACGAAGCAGTAAAATAAAAAAACAGGCAGCGCGGTGCACGTCACAAGAGCACTTCTTGTTTGTCTGTGAATTAGTAATTAGACGTGACCAGCTCGAGTCAAGTGGAAGCGTCATTGACGACAGGGGTGCCTGATTTGGCCGAGAAACAAATTTGGAATTTAATTCGCGGCCGAAGTCGTTGTTAACCCTTTTTGACCTCCCCCCGAGCTCTCGAGTGAGGCGGGATTTTAAATTACACCGACTGAGCCAGCTGTTTTTTTTTTATACGTAGATGGCTCGTCTCGATCTCTCCTGCTGGGATTCTGGCAACGCGCGGCTTAATTATCATTTTTAGTGGTTTCCACGGACATTTCAACGCATAGGGGATAATTAGCACTTTGCTGAAGCGTTTGAAATGCGGGTCGAATTGAGCATTTTAAAACATTTAACGACCAAATAAAATTTATTTTCGTTAACAACAGGGCTACAAAAGAATAAAAATGTAAAAGTGTGAAACTATCTCTTGAAAAAAAAGAATGTAAAAATTAGTTCCGAGGGAAATTAAATATTTCAATATCAAAAGCATGCACGTTTTGAGTGGCACCCCTTTTTGCACATCTCGTTTGTGTAACAAAATCGGCGTGGCAAAAAGTTCGGGCCTGCCACTTTGTTTTTGCGTCAAGTCTCGGCTGCTGCAAAAAGATTTGCGTCACAGCCCTTATTTAGTGTTTACCCAGCGTGCAATATAATAGAGCTACACGCATGAGGAGCACCTTGGTCTGGTTTTGATGGCACCCACTTTGCGCTCGGCGAGAGCATTAATTACGCCGGCAGCTGTAATTGCTTTTTACGGCTGCGGTGCTCACAATAATACACACATCGGAATTGCCGCCGAGCATTTGGGCTTCCTGTCGGCCCCGGTTTGATGCATGACTTCCATTTTGTGCACGACACTCTGGGTCAAAAACACTTTCAGGGACGTCCGATGCACCCTGTGAAGTGGTCGGACAAAAAACAAAACATTTAATCTTAAAATAAAATAAAAAAAATCCAAATTAATTCAGTTCACGGTTGAAAAGCTCTCGTTGGCATCGAAATTCGGAATGCAACAATAATGTCACCGAGAGTGGGTTTGGAGGCACTTCAAACTATCAAACTAGCCTCTGCGGTGCTATTTCGAGTTTTCCGAGAGGCGAAAAACAGCTGTGCTCGCACGGAACGTTGGTATTAATTTATGGAGAGCCGCCGCTGCTGCTGCTTTGGCTCGTCGTATATTTTTTTCTAATTACCGCGGCCGCCTGGCAACAAATCAGAGTTGTTTGCTGGAGCGACTCGTTATTACGCGCGTGATAATTTAATCGGCACTGCCGCGCGGTCAATTTTCCCTACACGGCTAATCGGCCCAAATTATATTTTAAGGCTGCGCGGCGCCTTGAACTCGTGATGGATCGAGTCGGCTCTTGGCAAACACATTCGCGCGCATCACTCACTCTTTTCACGCATGACGTCATTCAATAATCCGCAGCTGCAAAGAAGAAGAAGAAGGATGCGTGCATCTTATCTCGCGGAAGAAAACTTTCATATATATACCGCTCTGTGGTGCACAAATGCCAATTACACTGCAGCCGAAGTGTAATCAACTTTAATTGGTTTCACTTGTGCGCGCACGGGGCGCCGAGCCGGCCGACCGTCGTATTTATAGGCAACGATTTAAATGAACCTGCGGGGCGCGCACTCGGCCTTCTTTTTCTACACCGAATCGATTAATTAAACGTGCGGGGATTTGGGGAAAACGACCGAACGGCATTAGCGTGGATTCCCAGCGAAATAAAACAAACGACGGATTTAAAATGAAATAAATCGAACAGAAAGAATAAAGCTCTTTGAGTGAAACGAAATAAATGTTTGGAATGCGCTCGGCTCCGATTCTGTAATTGCACGGCTGGAGGCTTGATTTGAGGTCGATTGCAAGTAACAAGGCTCGTTTAGAAAATATCAAATTTACCTTTTTTTTGTAACGAGGACGGATTAACGTGCCAATTTAAAATGGTTGTATAGGTGAGTTGTTCCGGCCAATCAGAGAAGAGGATTGTTTTAGGGGAAATGTTCCAGGCGGGACTAATTAAATTATATGATTGACAATATAAGAGGCAGAGCCTGCGGATAATATAATAGGTTATAATTATAAAAAAAATCTAAAGATTTCAAGTTGAATTTTTTACACTAACATGAATTCAAGTTGATGAGTTCCTCGAATTAATTAATGTAAACAAATTTTTAGATAGAAAAAATGCAAGACAGTCTCCTCGATTTGATTAAACTTTTAAGATGTCAACTTAAATGTTAAACAATTTTTTTTTTAAATACTTTTTTAATTTAATTATCTAAATAAAAGAAAATAAAAAAATAAAGTGGATTCAATTCTTTGAAAAAATTATACTGTCAAAATTTCAAATTTTAATTCGATATCTGAATTATTGAAAGACGGACTATGATTTCACAACTCCCACACAAAAAATTAAAAAAGAGCATTCACAAATTAACAATTAATTAACAACTAATACTATTGATGATGTAATAAAATAAAATTTTTTACTTTATTCTTTACTTATTACTACTCAAACACTTGCCTTCAAACTAATGTAGCTAGTTTTTTTTATTTTAAATATTTTTATTTATTTACATTAATTGTTTTGCCTAAAATAAAAATCATCATTTTACTGTACATCAAATTGAACCATGAGTTTGTTAAAAAATGGAACAATTCCCCTTACTGATTAACCGGAACAACTCGCCGTTTTTTAATGGAACAACTCACCTTGTTACAAATTGAATTCAAAAGTTTCAACTCACCGGCAATTTTGTCGTCCTGCATGTGCAAAGAAGGGTCCTGCTGCACGGCCTGCATCACAATGGGACTGGTATCCGTCCACGACAACACACCACCGATTCCACTGTCGGCCGACGAGCCCACGTTGGCGTAGTCGGGGGCCATGGGCCGCAGCTCGGGCGCCGGCGGCGGCTGCTTGCGACGGCTGCTGCGTCTACGGCTGGCCGGCGGCTTGCAGTAGAGGGCCTGCTGCTCGATGGCCGGCGGCCAGGCCATCTGGTGCTGGGCGGCCGCGAAAGGGTCCCACAGGGTCTGTTGCGGCTGGAAGCGTTGCTGTGGCTGCGGCTGCTGCTGTTGCTGCTGCTGCAGCCGCGTGGTCCTGCGCGCCGGCTGCTGCTGCGGCTGCTGCGGCGGCAGGTTGTTGATGAACGGGCTGCGCCGTTGGCTCTCGGCCCTGCGGTAGAAGCAGGGGTGGATCATCAGCAGGGGTTCGCTCTTGCCCGGCGGCCGCGCCTGGTTCGGCAGTTCGTACTCGACGCTGCAGTCGACGTGCAGCGGCTTCGAGTAGTCCTTGGCCTGGCTGGGCGGCGCCGCGGCGCCGACGGCGCCGCGACCGACCGCCGCCGACTCGAACCCCGCGTAACAGGCCATCGTGGCGGCCATCGGCGGTCACTCACACAATCACACTGGGTGAGGGCTGAGAGCGGGGCACAAGTCGCGCGCGAGGTCCTGCCCGCTCCGTGTACTCTCGCAGACTGAGGCCTCCGCGGCTCGCGGCCCCGCCGCCGCGCTGCCACTCCTCGGCTCCGGCCAATCGCGGCGCCCGCAGCTCAGCTGACTCTACTACCATACACCGGCGGCCGTGCATCCGTCTGCGCTCGCTCGCTCGTGAGCACCCCAAATGATGAATTGATGAGAGGATTGCCTGCCTGCATTTTTCGTTTGTCATTTCGCGATGATTAATTCGCGCCCCCATTTCAAAATTTTTGCTGCGATTCCAGTGGAAAATTGATGCTTCTTTGTTCTCTGCATCAATCTTGAACAATTATTCAAAAAGAAAAATACTTCATTCAGTGAAAAATAATAATTTTTTTTTTTTTTTTTTTTACATTTTTGGCATAAATAAGAATATTTTTGCTATTCTTCTTATTTCTATTTCACGTCCTTGTTAAATTCCTAGCCTGACTTTCAAATAAATAAATAAACAAATAAAGAGATAATTAAATTTAAAAAAATATTAAAATAATTTGTAAAAAATACTTTAATATAATTAAACAATGTAATGTAAAAGTTTGGACTTTGGACAAATAAACAAAATATTCAACTCACTCGCACCTTCTGAGAACAATTCCAAGAATGATGTAATTAATGTTTCCAAAAAATATAAGAAATAAACTATACTCACTACAACCATGTTTGGCAAAATAAACAAAATAAAGTCATGAATAATTATCCGAAACTGTAATTTTTTTACTGAAATAACACAACTTTTAAAACAGTTCATTGGCTTGGTTTGCCATGCAGGTCGCAAGCGCTGGGCATGAAATCGTGTCATTTGGCTTTGTCATTACTGCTAGAATAATTCTACAATAAAGATTTATACTCTTCACAGTTCATTGAATTTCAACTCCTTCGAGTAAAACCGGAGCACCGAATATATACAAATTCAATAGTTTTTATTCCTCTCTGCAAGCTGCAAACTTGTTAAATTGCTTAAATTCAATAAAAAATTTTAAATTAACGCTCTCCACGAATCCAATTTTCCCTTTTCTTTTTTTTATTTGACACCCTAGTTGACCGAAAAAAGTTTTCAGCCCCTCTCGTTCGGAGGTTTCCCTTGTTCCCTCTGCGCGCATAAATAAAACATGTCAACAACAAATTAAGGCCACCGTCGGCCCCCTTTTTGGAGCTTACACGTTACACAGCAGACTTTGACGGACAAAAAGACGCGAGCAAGAGTTTTGCAGGACCTGCTTGAATTGAAATCGCATTAGATTCGCCAGCGTGTAGTGCCCTTGCTTGTGCACACATACTATGGCCATACTGCGCCGCTGCGCTCTCGGTGTCTGCCGCATTAGAAGCCATTCATAATATATGACTGACAGCGTAAGCCTGTTACGAGAGGAATGGGGATAAGCCGGGCACGTCAATTTCGACTCGGCAATTCTTTTTTCGCCACATGGGAGTTTCGTGCAGCCGCACATGCCCTCTAATTAATGTTGTATTGTTTGAACGTGTCAGCAAATCCTGCGGTCGTTTTTTGGAGGACGTTCCAAATTCATTCAGAATTAATATTAAACGGCTGCGGGCAGAGTAAAAAATAAATATATATGGAATGCAAATCGTCTGCGCCAAAGTCAAATTCATTTATGCAAAATCGACGTTTTCAATTTTTCACCCTCGCCATTCAAATTGAAATAATAAATTCTCTTTCTCTCTACGAGATATACATTCTGTTATGTAATATGTACGAAAAGCAATTTCAGAAATTTATGGGCCGCCATCACATCGCGCTGATCATCTCTCTCTGGTGCGCCGAATTCGAAACTGCAGCGCATACGGACTCACTCGTAAAAGGCTCGAAATTTCCGTTCGATGATGTGCGCATACATCAGCCGCGGCCGTTTTTGATCGTGCAGGCTTTGCTTGCTATTCTGTGCCTGGCAATAATTTACAATTGCTGCTGCTGGGGCCCGCATTTGAATAATATTTTCCAGCTCGCGCTCGAGTTTGTCATGTGTTGGGGCGCCATGCAGGTATTAACAAGAGCTATGGCGAGACGACACGACGTGCAGCAGCTGGTGTGCAATAAAACAATCTCGTCGCGTTTGTTGTGTGCGTATAATATAAAAAGCAAGCGCGCGGAGGCTGAAATGAGCTGGCGCGCGGACAAGAGCATTGCTGCTGCTGGTATGGCGAAAGAAATTAAGAATGAAAGAAAAAATGCTGGCTATGCTTCCACTCTTAATTGGTGCGGAATATGGGGGAAAAATTAATCAATTCAGCTAAAAGGACTCTCATAAGAAAAGGGTTTGGAAAGGAAAAAGTTACATTTAAAACAATTGCTGTTTAAATCTACATTTTTTTATAAATATTTTTTAAATTTCTCACTATTTCAAATCCAATCAACTCGTTCATTTTTTTTCAGCAGGCATAAATATGCTTAATTATAATTGAATTAAAAAAAAATCAAAATAAAAAATCAGTAACAACCAGAAATATTTTTTAATATTTACTAGCGAATGACTCGATGGTTTTTGTCAGTTGTTTCATAGTTGAAGAAAAAACAATATCCTAGCTGCTATATTTTTTTCTTAAACATTAAACAGCTCACAAAACCCATCGAGGGAAAGCCGATTTTTAACTCAAATCACCAAGAATCAACTCTCGATTGTGAATTTCCATAACCTCAAAAGCTTGCAAAAACTTCAAATTACATTTCAGCGCATTAAATTAGAAATTTGGATTTAAATTAATACTTATTTAACTCGATAACATGTAAAATTCGTCTTAAAAATGCCCAATGATTCGTTTTTTTTTCTGAAATGTTTTTCAAAAATTGAATGTAAACAATGTATTTGTAGACGAATAAAAACTAAAATAAAAAAATCACAATTTTTTTTTTAAATAATTTAATAAAATTGAAATTTATATTTGAACTATAATTATGGTCTTATTATTTTAATTTCTGTAGATGACGCAAAATAAATTAAATAATTTACATTTTATTTGTCCACATTATTTCAATACATTTTGCTCTCATTCAATTGTTGAAAAAAATTGCTGCAACAAAATAAAATTGTATTGAAAATAATTCTCATTTTTGCAAAAGTCATGATAAAAGTTTGAAATCAAATACAGAAGGTGTCTTTCAAAATAAATATTTGTGCGCGCATGTTATAGTAAACCACTGAAAAATTTATGCAAGCACGGTATAAAAAAACTCTTTATCCAACTCGCCATCAGAGAGAAACAGTTTTTCCTCAAATAAAAATTTACATAGAAAAACTGACTCATGCAGCCTTTTTCTTTATCGGATGCGATTGTGAGGCATAATTTAATGAACACAATACACGGCCATATTATATTCCTGCTCTTTTGAAGTTCCTTCTTGAGAACTCGATCCCTGCTTTTATTGAGGGCTCGTCCGCGTCGTGCATGCTTTGTGAATGCGCAAACAATTCCTGCAGCGCCGCGCATCATGCATATCATGAATAAAACTCGAAAAGCATGCACGAGAAAGCACCTTCTCTCGGGCGGTATATTATATGAGCGAATTCCCTCGCGAGTTCCATCATCTTCTCAAAAGCGTTTGCAGCACGCACACCCATACATATTCCCAAATCTCACACGCACACTAGCATTTATATATCCGAATAAATTTATATCGAACACCGAGTGAGAATTTTCTTATATAAGCGCGCTGCACGAATTTCGATCGGCTGCCAAATCCGCGGCGGCAATTTTCCGCCTCGCAATGAAATAATCCCTGCGATTTTTCTCTCTGCGAGAGTAGAGACGGCGGAGCAGGGAGGATAACCTCGGGGAATGCTGCCGTCGTATAAAAAAAATAAATAAATCTCGGGCGGCTCTCTCGCGGCAGAGCAGAGATGGTTTGACCCCATGGAGCTCGGTTTTTCAGGCAGTGATTGAGTGAGCCATTCCATATTGGATGAGGATGTTGTTAATATTTTATGTTCGCAGTTGATAATGCAGAGCGCCAACGGAGCCGCCCTCGCTCGAACGCTATCAGCGCAGCCGAAGGGGCGTCTGTTCCTGACACACACTCACTCTACAATATAACGCAGGGACGGATGGACGGGGGTGTTACGCCTAAAGGCCATGCCAAATCGTGATGCCAGTTGTAACTAATCCATGGGAAACATGGCCGATGCTGATAAGCACTGCCGCTTTTTGTGCCTCTTTCGTGAGCACAACAGCTGAACGCGCGCAACCCTTTTTAATTAACCTTAGCCTCGAGCGCGCTGCGAAAACAAAACAAAAAGAACAAGTCAGCGTGAGTCAGTGCTTTTCAAACAATCCAATAACATTGTACTTGATTGATGTAAATATTAACAATTTTATATATATTGCTCTCATTATTGTGAAGTAAAAGTGCATCTGCTCTCTTTATTGCGGGGAAATGGTGAAAAAATTGTCGTGTTATTTTTAAGAGAGCTGCTGTTATTATTATTATTTAGTGTGTTGCTGCCATCATTATGTGTAATTTTTATTGCTTCATTTCGCGGACACGCAATGTAATTTCTGCGCGCTCTGTAGCCCAAGGTTGTATAATAATAACGAGAGAGGCTGCTGTCGGCGGGCGGGTGTTTCACGATGCGCCCAAAATTTAATGGGAATTGAATTTTAAATTTTTATGGCTCTGCCGGAGAGAGAGAATAAATAAAAATTGCTCGTTATTTTAACGTACAAAGTTCTGCTCGGAAGCTTGGAATAATGCATGGCGAGCGCGGAAAAATTTAATTGAGATTCATATCGGCCGCCGCCGGTGTGTTATGCTTATAAAGTGCATGATATAAGCGTCTCTTGCGTGTGATTTTTATGGTTTGATTGCGCGCGACGCACACTCACACACAAACACCGGTAATAAAATTTTTATTGCTCTATTTCACGAGTTTGTTGCTGAATATGTTAATTGGTAATTAGGTATTCTCTTTATAAAAATGAGGGAAACCGCATTAAAATATAATAATGATTGTTCCCACAAGCACTCGGCCGTGCTCATTTAATGCTGCACGCTATAACT